CCCCCCCCCCCCCCCCCGCCCGCCCCACTCGTCGGACGACGGATCCGTTCGAATGAGCATTGTGGAAAATATCTTAGGCATTGGAACATATAAAATATTTAATATTAAGCCATCTTTGCGCTAGACAGACGTATGACTGGCATCCCACCGGGGTGCGTCCTTTTTTGGCCCTGATTTAGTAATACCCGGTCCCTTTTGGACCCGTTGAACAGATACTTTTCTTTCACCAGGTAGTAAGCGGGTGTTAGAACGATTACAGTTGATAGCTCCATCATATACAAGTTAGTTAATTAATGTGAGGAAAGTTCAATACTAATGAACATACCTGATTTTTCAGAATGCTTTGTACTGCTTCAGCTATATTTTTATACTTGGCTTGTTAAGTGTTTTAAGATATGGGAGAGGGTGAGGCTGGGGAGACTTATTTACATGCTATGCACGCTTTGTTCAAAGGAGTGTAATAAAGACATGTTCAAATTTTTTTTTAACCCAGCTGCTTAAATGATATGAAAATACAAAAAAATATTTGTCCTGTTCGAAGTCTTACATCCACTTCCACATGGTGAGCAGGGGCAACAAATACACAGCAGGCCTTCAGAATTCCAAATTCTATTTTAAAAGACTGCCTTTGGCGCATGAAAAAATCAGCACCAAAAAATCGATTTCCAAATTGACACAAGAAATCGGTAAAGACTACTGGTCCAAAAAGGATCCAATCGTTTCCTGGTCCAAAAGGAACAGTGTAGTGACTAGTTGAAAAGGAATTCTCCCCAAAACAGAGAGGGGATTGCAGCCCTATTTTCACATTGCTGGCTATTTGTATGGCTAAAGTAGTCTTGGGATTGAAATGGGTTTTAAATGGCATGATAGTATCATATTTGGTTGGAACTCTATGCGTTTATCTGTCGTATTGCATTGACCTAAAGAGTGTGGTCTGCTTCTTGTTTTTCTTTCCTGAGTAAGTAAAATACTTTAATCTATTCGTATCGGAACGAGGCCATTTGTAATAAAATCACGGTTAGCACGGCCTCAATAGTATTCTTACATTCCTTATTGCATCCGTCATATAAATGCAGACGTCATTGCCCGTTCTTTATCGTCACTACATACTTCCAGCAAAAGGCCGCCATTTTCAGTTTTCAAAGGAATAATCGATCCAGTACAGTGGGGGGAATTCTGTCTGTGAACCCGTTCGTAGTTGGATATTCCCTCAGACTATTTTCCAATGTCTCTTTTTTTCTTTTTAATTGCTTTGAGATGGAAGAACATTCAAAAACTGTTTCAATTCATGATCTTAAATTGACTATTGCAACCCAAGAACTTGGTTCCCAATGCGCCCCGTCGTACGTATAGGAAACATTCATGGGGGCACATGATTGCTTGTTATTATACCAGGAATTTGTTTTCTTCTTCTGTAATTCAAAGAATGATTTCATATGCCTGCACATGTTACGCATGACGTCACTTCCGTTGACTGAATATCATGTTTTCATTCTTCTCTCTTTCCGCATTGCTTCTTAGTCAGAAAAAGGGAATCGCTGCTCGTTATATTCTATTGAACTTCACGGTTTATTTCTCTGTCTTTCTGTCTTCTGGTTTGGCGAGGGTTATGGGGATTGCAAGAAATTGAAGATCAAACCCAGACATATTCAAAATAACAGATTGCACTTAGAATACATTGTGCACTAAGTCTGAAATCTCTCAAAATCACGACTTTTGCATATTAAGTCTGCTTCCCACAATATACTCAGAAATAACTACCCTCTCTGATATTTCAGACTACGTGATCCCAAATTATAATCCCCGCAAAGTTATGGAAATTTTAAAGTTTCCTTTTTCTTCACGATCATGTCTTTCTTTTAACCATGTGATCCTTATAACCTTATTGCTCCTTTGGCCTTCTTTGACCTTTTTATCACAGCTCCAAACGATAGATCTTCGTTTTCATGTATTCTCATGTCATACACGTACACGACAATGACAATGACGATCTTTATTCATCTCGCAGGGAGAAATTTGTCTTTGTCGTTTACAATGGCAGTGGATGTACTCCATAATAACACTCAACCTTAATGTATCCACCCAGAATTTTCTGTCCATCTGTCGAGCTACCGCCGTGCCGTACATACCGCTGTGTATAATGCACACATTACCATGCAGATCTAAGCCCAAGGCCATGTTAGAACAATAAACAGAACGTGCCAATAATCAAATAAGTCGAGATCGTTCCCACAGAGAAGTGGGGCTTCCACAGAGTCGCTCTGTTTTATGAATAATAAGATATGATTGTATAATATCCCTTAAGGGGTGGCAGACCTAGAGTATAGCTATCCCCTCCCCCCCACCCCGCAAAAACAGGCTTTACACCTTTGCAAAAAGGTGACTCTATTTGGCACTTGTTATGCTATTTGTTAGAAGACATCCAAATCGTTTTAGCTTTTTTCTGACTTTTGCTCTACTGTTTGAGCGTTTTGCTCCCATAGTATCCTTGGTGCCTTCGTTTCGGACTTTGTCTGTCTTTCTAAGAGGCTCCCTTACTGTTTCAGATTCATTATTTGTCCTTTTGTAGATTTGTTTAGCTTTTTTAAAAATAAGCCACAGTGCCAAACTGTCTATATAAAGTAGCATTTGCAAGTAGTATTTTTCGTCTAACGAACTCAGTTATAACGGTTTGAAATATCTTTAGGTTGTTAAACGTGGCGCTCTAGTGGCTTCCTAAATTAGAATTGTCTTTAACTACACCTCAAAGATACTTCCTTTTTACAAGAAATATGGGTCTTTGACTTATTTAATATTATGATTGTGAAGATAAAGTACCGGGGTATATTTAATTTTTTTTACAGATTTTATAAATCAACAAACAGCACCTGAATGTTCACACGTCTGATGAAACACTCTTTTGCAAAAAGTATTTAAAGATCATACTCTCGAAAAAGATTCGTCTAAACAAAAGCGATAGTTGGCCAATGCCTGGATACGGCACTGAAAGCCTTCAGGCGCCAACTGACAACAAAAACATCGATGAATGCAGCTAGTAATGCCAATGATACTCGAGTTAGTGGATTTATATTAACCACTAATGCACGGGCTTTGAGAACCCATTTGTTTAATCGTGGGGCTGAAGGAACGGAGAGATGGTCATTTGTAGTCCGACGCGCATACCGGAACTTGTGCGGCATTTCCGGTCAGCGGTGATGTGATGATAAATACGGGCGAGACGAATATGGCAGTAATCCACGGAAACTAATCTCATTCCCAGCTCTGAGGGAAAAGGATTTAACGAGATTATTTTATCATTCTGAACTGCGCTTTTTTTGTCGTTTCATTTTCTCACCGCAAGCATGTCTCATTACTAAGTACATGGTGATCGAAGATAGTGTTATACAGATTTTGTCCTTATAGAAACGTTAGAGACTATAGTACCAGATGTA